GCTCAGTCTGCAGCTCCAGGATTTTAATGAAACCTACGACGAGATTCATCCTTGAAGTTGTCTCCAAACGTTAAACAGAGGCTGACACAAAACCAGGTCGACGGTGAGGGATGATTGGTCGCGACTCAGGAAACAATCGGAAGGTTTTATAGCACAAATAAGCTCCGCCTCCCCTGCAGAGCAGACACATGCACTCAGAGCCTCACTCCAGAGTGCTCGTGTCTAACCTCATGCACACGATGCCCTTTGACCCTGCTGTATGAGGCTTGTGGTTTTACACTGTGTGACATCACAGTATGCACACAGACGTCAGTGGATCCTGGAAGCTAACAGCTGTTTGTAGCCTGTTAGCCTCGTTAGCCTGAGTCAGTGTCCGACGGCTGCCTCCAGATTCAGGTAAACAGTCATCATCCCTCCTCTGCTCTGGCACAAAGGAGCAGATCCCGGTCCTCTTGCTCTCCTACAGTAACTGGCCGTCTCCTGGAGTCTCCTCCAGGCTCCTCCAGGCTCTGGACACACAGCAAACCTCGATGCGCCACCCTGGAGGAGTCGGACTACCTGTGGAAACTCTGGGAGGTCCAGGTATCACCTCATGCTCCTTAACTGAGCGGATCAATGTCCCAGGAGTTTAACAGCTCGATGCTGCACTCAGATTTAAACACATTCCTCTAACTTTGGTTTCGGCTCTTTGTTAGCATCCACTGCTAACTCGAACCACATCATCCACGCTGTGAGCTTCCACACATCTGGTGGGTCTGTCACAAGTATTAGATCAGTAGCAGCACAAAGCACAGCAGAGCTCACGATGATTCCTTCCAGACTTTTCTCAACTTTATTTAACCGGCAAATGAAAGTGGACAGGCCAGCCGGACAGGTGGTTAGACGTTCCCCCTCCGACTGTCACCGACCCGGGAATGTCACAGGGAGCGACTTAATTCATATTAAAGAATCTGAGTTAGGTCCAACCACCGTCTGTGTCGCAGCAGGCCTCCTCACCTGCCTCCAGGCGTGCACGGCTCTGTGGGGAATGAAAAGCAGCTGGAGTCCGAGGAGCCGCTCTGGAAGCGTCTGAACTGACCGCGGGAAGTTCGGGAGCTGCCGTGACTCTGTGCAATCCTGCGACAAACAGGAACCACAAACAGCCGCTGCGAGCTGCGAGTGCTTCATCACCACAGAAAAGGGGAAATGGCTTCTTCAGGCTGCGTTAGAGGCAGCGTGGGAGGGCCGCCCAGGGCCCGACTCCGTGAAATGTCAACTATGCCTCCTCCTGTCTCATCTTCTTCATCCTTTGCTCTCTGCTTCCTCATCCTCTCAGGTCGTGTTCACACAGCGGGCTAATCCCGTTTCTCTTTAAAGCTTTAAGACGGTCCGCTTTGTCACCGAGGAGCGACCACAGGATAACACAGCACAGAAATCCAGGGAACACCTGCACAGTTCAATAGTAAATCAGACGAATCCAAGTTTAATCTGCCTCGGGTCGTCGTAAGGTGACCCTCAGCTGAAGCTGCTCCAAGACAAAGCTGATGTCCAACGGTGTTTGATGGGTGAAGGAGCAGCAGGGAAAACCTCGTTTGTGCACATTTGTGTTTAATGTCACACTGGAAAGTTTTTCCTTTGAGCAGAAATGCTTAAAGAGTCACGTGATCCTGACCGCCGCAGCTGCTTTACTGTGAGTCTCAGTAAGCCGGATCAAAGTGCGCATGGATGGGATTTCCTCCTCTGCCTGCGGATAACCGTCCTGTATTAAAGCTTAACAAGATGTTTGGGGGTGATAGC